CCTGTTATTTGCAATTTCTATTCATTCTGGTCTGTAAAATATTTTTTTTTTATTTTTCTAGACTAAATGTATAGGATTCAATCAAGAATGTAATTAATTAATAGAAATATGATTTTTTTTTCTTGATTGAGAAGGCGGCGGCGCTGGAGATTTGAAGATGAAGAGTTTGCTATCTGCGTTTTTGCAGTTTGGGAAACTGCAACCCTAATTACTAACCTCTGTTTTGCAGGTTGTACGAATAGTCCATATCTGTTTTTGATTGTCAACAATTTGGAATTTTAATTTTAGATCTTTCATTGAATTGTTTCTTGAATTAAAAAATTGTTTTTGGACCGTTTCAGACCAGATTGGACCAAAACTATTTGGACCGAATCTAGGGTTCGAAAGGGGCTGTATTCAGTCCTGTTATTTCCCACTCTCAAGTCTGAAATCAATTTTTAATTGGAAGGACCAATTCGACCCAACCTATAAAGCCCAGTTTTAAGGGGTTAAAACTACAAAAGCCCAGTTTTACATAAAAGCTATATGAGCCGAACTGCTAACTGCGATTCAACCCATATACATAGATGATATTAACGGTTAATATTATGGACTTTAAATGGGCTTTACAGTAGTTAATTGATTGGATCGATTCTTCCATTTCATGTGATGTGTGGATGTTTGATGTGCTACGACCATGGGCCATAAACACTTGGCCCGTGATGATACGTTAGTGGCTCTTGCGCACACCATGGCTGAATGCACATCATTGCCATGGTGTCCCATACGGTCATTGGATGACCCCTTCCTTTCATGGTGGACCCCACAACCCTGAAAAGGGACGCGCGCGGAAACCCTAGCCGAATTAGGCCCCATAAATCTGACTTTATGAAAGTCAGTGGGAGCCACTTTGGTTTGACCTAAATTAACTAGGGCGTAAAATTTTGTTCCCTCTAGCAAATGTGGGTGCGTGTGATAGATAAATTCATGTGATGAACTCTCTAAAGGCCTTCCGTCATTAGCACGATGATGGGTCTTTCAGTAATGAGGAAACACACCATAAAATTGGGCTATCCATTTGCTGTTGGGTATGTTAGAGTGTTTCATAAGATGATAGGGGTGTCATAGACCGATGTGGGAGGGGCTTCACCAGAAAATGGGAACTCTCTCACGGTACCTTGGCGTAACCTGAATATGATGAGTGAGCACTTACTGGACATAAAGGTTTACTTGAAAACGGCTCTGAACCTTGTCTGACAGAGGCCAAAAGGGAAATTCATTTGATGAGTGGATATGATCCGTCACAGAAAGGTGGTGGGGTTATGCAGCTGAAACAGTTGGCTCCACGCACCCTATGTGATTTCCCACATTTCTAGAGACATTTTCGCCATCTTCGTCACTGAGATAGGAGGGAAATCTCAGAGATGAACAAATGGAAATGGAATATAGATTAAAAGCCATATCTATGTAGGTAACATGAATCAAACTAAGGTTGTGGACTAATGTTTTGTTGTTTTATCAGAAAATGGCAAACGGACAATTTGCTAAGTTACTTGACGATAACAAGCTTAAGGGCCCAAACTATGCCGAGTGGTACAGAAACCTTATGTTGGTCTTAACTTCCGAGAAGTTGGATAAGGTAGTTAAAAATCCTACCCCGGAGCGTCCGGGTGACAGGGCTTCTGAGGCCCGAAGGAGGGAATTCCAAGATTGGGAGGACAAAAACTCCCTAGCCCGCTGCTATGTCATTGCCTCCCTGGACAATCCAATACAGAGGCAGTTCGATCAGATYGAACTAGTCAAGGACATATTGAATATTTTAAAGATGATGTACGAAGAGCAGAATCGTTCTACTCGGCAGAAGGTCTTGAAGTTGTTCATGACCGCGCAGATGTCCAAGGGGCAGAAAGTTCATGACCATTGTCTTCGGATGATGGGCTACATTAACGGACTCGAGGCTCTTGGATCTGGGCTAGATCTTGCCACGCAAGTGGATGCCATCCTTAATTCTCTGCCTCATTCCTTTAATCCGTTCATAATGAACTACAATATGAACAAGCTGAATGTCAGCGTCCAGGAACTTAGCAATATGTTGCAGAGGGCCGATGATTTGATAAAAAAGGATGAGCATGTGGCTATACTTGTTGAAACTAGCAAATCGGGCAAGAAAAAGAGGAAGGCAAAGAAGCCCCAGAAGAAAGCTGCCAAACCTAAGAAGCTAGCCAACTATTCATTTCACTTGTTTCTTGATACAATGACTTCTATCAAGAAATAGGGGGGCTAAAGTACATGAAGTATTGAGCTATACCTTACAAAATGCTCCTATGATTTACCATCACTTATATCTTCAAAAACTTCCTACATGACTAAAACGACCTAGAAAACAAGTACGAGTCAACACGACACCCTATCAAAAAGACAAGGGGTTTGAATCATAGAATGAAAACTCTCTATTCCCATCCAAGGACATTACTAAGTTGAATGCCGAAATGCTTATTAACAAAGCTAACACTTGTCAATAAGCAAGGGGGGTATCAACATACCCCAATGAATTTTTCTGTACACAAAGTTCGTAAAGCATCTCATCAAGAACAAGAACAATCACCAAACCTAATACTAAAAGACTACGATGCCACAACATCTACAATTCTGTTCCTCTTCACCCATTACAAAACCCCAAGGTAAGCACGGTGAAAAAATGCTTATCAGTAAGTTCTCACTTACCAATAAGCAAGGGGCTAATGTAGGTACATAGTGATCGCTCAGACCATCAAAGCACAGAAGATGTCGAATTAATACTACATGGATGCTTGCGATGAGTTCACAACTCATCGGACATCTGCGATGAATTATGAACTCATCATATGATTGTGACAAACTTGTGCCTGAAACGAGTTGTGATGAACTTTGGCCCGAGTAAATTTGCAATGAGTTTCAAACACGCGTAGACTTGCGATAAGTCTCAGACATGCGTGGACTCGCGATGAGTTTTGGATGCGCATGAACCTGCGAGGAGTTTGAAACCATCATAGGCCCATGACAAACGTGGAATTACTGTACAATCGGGAATAAGTATTAGATACACGTGCGTCTTTAAATTACACACATGACAGGACGCCCCATGGGCCTAGTTAAGGCAAGCAATGCAAATAATGACATCACCCGCGCCACGTCAATTTAAAAGTGTCGCGAAAGAAAGTAGTATATATGGATTATAAGAATTCTTAAGAAAAAGGAAACATTGTCTTCGAAGGATTTCGCTGGACACGTGGCGAAACTCCAATAATGCTTTCTTAATAGTTAGCATAAAGATAAAGATCCCATTTTCTAATAGGAAAAGTTTCCTTTATATCATTCTCCTTATGGCCTTGGGTTTCTCTCTATAAAAAAGAAGAACAACCCTTCCCTAAAGAAGAGACAAAAATACATTAGATAATCTTGACCTAGAGTTTCTCAGAAAGGGACTCTCCCTTCTCTCCTCTCTTATTCTCTTTTCCCCACATCCTCTCTCTTTCTCATTGCCTTCTCTAAACCTTCGGAGACTTAACCAACCTCCGTATCCTTACCATGGCACCAACACATGCAAGTATAGCACCTGAGTTGGAAGCTCAAAAAGACTAAAGGAGTGTACCCCATCTTTATCATTTATACAAGAAATTTAAAACATGTTGAAATTTAACACAGGCACGGCTGCTACAATTCAACCCATTTGCTAAAACTGCAATGCAAGACTGATTTGAGTACAGGATTGATATGGACTATAGGGAGGCTCCCTGACCCTACCTACGTCTAACAAATAACAATACAGGGGACCCACTATACAGGGGACCCACTGGATTGACCACTGTTAAAATTGACAATAGCCGTCCACGGTTTATCTTGAAAGGGAGGTCATTGCTTACTGCTTAGAGACTGTTATGGTAATAAAATATAAAAGGGAGAGCTCCATTTATGTAAGTGTCAAGTTTAATCACGTGAGCCCAGGTAGCTGGGACCAGCATTGGATAATGCTTTTTTAGAGAAGGGGTCGGTCTATTTTAATCTCGTGACGAGGTCTCAGAACCAAAATGTTTTCCAAGAGCAAGAGGGGGTGGTGGGGTAAGGAATATAGGGACTCTTTTGAGCTCCAAAGTCCAGACTATGTGTGGGAAGATTCCTGGATTGTTCTTTGTTCAATGTGGAAACTGGCAAGTTAGTTTGGAGCTCAAAGGAAGTTGTCGGATTCTGCTCCTCCAAATCAGTCCTAAACAATCTTGCCATGTGCTCTAGACAAAGCACTTAAGCTCTGGTCTGAAATAGCAATAGGGCGGAAACGGACTACAGGACTCAACATACGGCCAATCCAGAAGGTCCACCATTCGATGAAAGGCCTGAAATTGTCAAAAGATTCCTCTACATGGCCAAAATAGAGTAGGCTTATACTTTCTTTTTATATATAATTGAGAGTAGGCTTACACCCAATTAGAAAACCTTTTCCAATTACCATATATAAAACTAGAAAATTCCCCTAGCCAATTCCATGTCTCAAGCAAAGGCCAAAGTGAACAAGGTAAAACCGTAAAAGAAACAAAAAACAATTCAAGTGTTCATATTGAGGCAGAGGAGATTTTTTTATCTCTGGGAATTGTAGACAGAACCGGCGTTAGCACACTCACTCCCCAAATGGAAATGGGTATGCATTGGTGTAGAGTTAGAATGTGCTACATAGCATGGTTTCAAAAACCGAACCAGACCAGTTGACCCAGGAACCGACCATGGTTCCAGGTCCAGTTTTGAATCCCAAAACCATCAGACCAGGCTTTGGACCATATGGTTGAACCATTTGATCCAGGAACCGGTGGCCAAAGCAGTTTTGTTTTCAGGTCAGTTTTTAAAACCATGTTATACAGCAACATCGTCAAACACAGCAGGCGAACCAACTTATTATGGTAATGTGCCAATCCATGATCCACACCAGCATCGTTTCCGGTATATATTAAGTCCTCAACAATGAACAGTAAAAAAGCATAAATACCGAGTCATCTAACAAAAGCAATAACTAGCAAGTTTCACAAACTATAAATATAGCAATCAAAGGGTTGAGAGAGCACATAGATGGCTGAGAAATAGAAAAGTAATAAAAGAGTATTGGTGGAGGAATATCGGGATTTCCAATAAAACTATATAAAAGTGACCAGGTAAACCTCCATCGTTAAGGGAATAACTGAAACTCATTCGGCTGATAGAAGTTTTGGTTTGATAATATCAATGCTTTTCGTTCAAGATTTCCCAATATTAACCGCAGGGGGATCTTGCTCTTATCCACCAGAATGAGGTACCTAGAATTGCACAAACATGTTGGCACGCATGCTCAGACCCAAACAATAATAAGAAACAAGGAAAGAAAATATATGCATCAGGCATGTATTAGTAACAAGAAACAAGGAAAAAAATATATGCATCAGGCAAGTATTCACAGCCACAGGCATGGAAAATAGCAAAAATAGGACTACCAAAATACCTTCACAAGTGGGCTCATTCTGCCAGAAACACTTGTCCACAGCAAAACTGGCAGCATGCTCATTTCCCCCCTTCTTTCTTCTGTACATTTTCTTGTTTTTCAAATGATTTTGCTTTCTTCTCTTCCCCTCTACAAATAGGGACATTGGGCAATAATTTTACTAGTGTCACAATTCAATCACCATAAATCTCTTGGAAAATAGTTCCTTTTAGTTAACCCAGGGAATCAATGTCTGAAAGAGGACAGACGAGATCATTTAACTCTATGAAATCCCCATCTAAAATCACAGAATTGGTTATTAACTCATCTGCAATGGTACCACCAACTCTAGTACTACCAGCAATGGTGGCATTGTACGATCTGACCTGTGCATCATCCATCAAGAGAAGGTATAGGATCAGAAGCATCTTAGCAAACTGAAAGAGCAGATGGTACATATTCAAGAAGGTATAGGACTAATGCTGCATTTGGCATTACTTATTTTAAGGACTTGTCTCCTTTTTGCTGTTAAAAATTCAGTATTCATAGGGGCATTTTAACCGCAAAAAGGAGATAAGTCCTTAAAATAAGGAATGCCAAATCCAGCCTAATTAGGATGCTTCCCGAGCTAGAGAAGAACTGAAACATGCCTGCATTATTTTGATAATAGTTTGTTCAATTGCTAATAACATGCATCTAAAGGCAGGAAACATCAAATCAATACCACTATTTAATGAAAATTGAATGACAATAATCTCTCTCCACCCCACTGATGCATGCATCAATAAAACAAATCAAATCCCATAGGACTTCAACTATACTATTGGATGCTCTTACCCAGCCCCTCTATGTATGAGAGGCCTCAAAATAGATCTGGGGGAAATCATTTGAAAAGCAGATACACAATGTTATCCCTTTTCTTGTTTGTTTGTTTTTGGGACCAAAATGTGATCATATCTATAACTACATGCTTAAAGCATTTGACTGGTGTACAGTCATTGGGTGAGCAACCAACACGTGGCATGTTATTGTTTTAATGTGCTTGCTCTGTTCTTCCGGTGCTTGTCCTCTCCTTTCTTTACTTTCTTCTTCATGGGGCTACATAATGGAGGGTAGCCCATCACCCATCCCCTAAAACCCCCCCAACCCTGGTAACAGCAGGATTTGATCCCAGGTCTCTGCTGCAACAAGCCAAAGATCCTACCAACACCATCAGTTGGTTCTTCCACCTTTTACCACAGAAGAACGAAACAGAGGAAGCACCGTTCCCTCCCCTCTCTCTTTCTTGAGCCTTTACTCTATCTCACTGCTATTCACCATTTCATTGGTCCACAGAATCCAAAATCAAAGACCCTTTCTGCTAAATTACCATCAGATGTGATTCAGACCAATAAAATTAGCAGAAATATTTAGATTAGAGCAGAAAGAAGGAAGAAGTGGAAGACAGCAAGAAGAAGGAAAAATGGAGAAGAAATGAGGAGTTCAATAATTTCCTCTTTCCCCTACTCTAATATTTTTATTAAATTTACTTAACTTACATAATTTAAAAGGAGGCCCTTAAGTAGGCATCCACATCAGCAATACACTTAAAAAAACAAAATAGAAGCTAAAGGCCCATAAAGAAAGAAGGCCCAATAAAAAAACATAACAAGAAGTAACTAATAAGAATGACACTAAAGGACTAGGGCCCATTCATCCCAATCTCTCTACACTCTCCCTCAAGCTGAGCATAGATATCAATCATGCCCGGCTTGCTTATATAGTGAACCGGCTTTCCTTTAGGAACACCTTTTGTCAAAACATCAGCCAACTGTTCTTCAGAAGCAATAAATGGTAGGTAGACTTCTCCCAAGGCAACTCTCTCTTGTATAAAATGCTTGTCAATTTCAATGTGCTTAGTTCTGTCATGTTGAATAGGATTATGTGCAATGTTGATAGCAACCTGGTTGTCACAATATAACATCATTGGCTTCTCATAGTCTATACCCAGTTCTTCTAAAAGTGATCTCAACCACAAAAGTTCAGAAACTCCATGTGCCATTGCCCTGTACTCTGTTCAGCTGAGGATCTTGCCACTACAGACTGCTTCTTACTCCTCCATGATACAATGTTCCCTGCTACAATAGCACAATAACCTGAAGTGGACCTCCTATCATCAATACTTCCGGCCCAGTCAGCAACAGTGTATGCTTCCAGCTTCATGTGTCCATGCTTAGCAAACAAGATACCTTTCCCTGGAGTCCCTTTTAGGTAGCACAAAACCCTCTCAGCAGCTGTTAAATGTGTATCTATGAGAGAATGCATAAACTAGCTAATTACACTAACTGCATGAGAAATATCTAGCTGAGTCATACAAAGGTATAATAACTTCCCAACCAGTCTTTGGAACACTCCCTTATCAGGCAACAGTTCACCCAGTAGTGGACAACTTATGATTTAGGTCTATAGGAGTAGAAGCAGGTTGGACACCTAGTTTACCAGTATCTACAAGAAGATCAAGAACATACTTCCGTTGAGAAATGAAGAGACCACCCTTAGAGTTGGCAACTTCTAATCCCAAGAAATATCTGAGTTCCCTCAAGTTTTTAATTTCAAACTTAGCGTTAAGAAAACTTTTGAGATGAACAACTTCCTAGGTGTCATTGCTAGTAACCACAATATCATCAACATAGACAATCAGAAGGGTCAGTAAGGAGTCTCTCCTCTTAACAAACAATGTATGATCTGACTAAGTTTGTGTGTACCCAAAAGCAACAAGAGCAGCCCGAAATCTGTCAAACCAGGCTCGAGGAGATTGCTTAAGGCCATAAAGGGACTTCTTCAGTTTATAAACCTTTCCTTGCATCTCCTTCCCATACACCCCTAGAGGTAAAGACATATAAACCTCTTCATGTAAGTCCCCGTTCAAGAAAGCATTCTTTACATCAAACTGATGAAGAGGCCAATCAAAAGCAATAGCTAAAGAGAGCAAAACTCGAACTGAAGTCATCTTGGCTACTAGGGAAAAAAGTTTCCAGGTAGTCAATACCATACATCTGAGTACACCCTTTAGCAATCAAACGGGCCTTATATCTCTCAACAGTACCATCAGAATGATACTTAATAGTGAACACCCACTTACAGCCAACCGGTTCCTTTCCCTCCAGCAAATCCACAATTTCCCAGGTATTGTTCTTATGCAAAGCATCTAGTTCAGTCATCATAGCATCCCTCCATTCTGGTTTGGACAAATATTCTAGGACAAATCTGGGAGTCACATGTGTGGAAATAGAGGCAAGGAAGAAATAGTAGGAAGGGGAAAGAAGGCTACAGGACAGGTGTTTGGAAATGCAATGAGTTGTACATTTCCGTTTGCCTTTGCGAAGGGCAATAGGGAGATCAAGGTCAAGGTAGTTATCCGAAATGGTAGAAGAGGGCTGACCTATTACCTCAGTAGTGATGGGAGGAGCAAGAGGCACATCTAAAGGTGTGGAAACAACTTGCATGTCTCTGAGTCTTTGTCTCTAGTACCACCTTTGGATAATAGGATGGGAAGGAAATGGGGGAGGATGAGTAGGAGAAGGGAGAGCAAGAACATGAGAAGAAGAGTCAATAAAGGACTCGATTGGAGGAGATTCCATAGAAGATTCAATGGGAATTGGAAGAGGAATGGATGGTGACAATGCAAACAACTCCTCTGGATGCACCCCCTCAGGAGAAGTACCAAAGAAAGGAACAAACTCTGCAAATGTGACATCTCTGGAAACAAAGCGGGTGCCATGAACTGGATCAAAACAATAGTATCCCTTCTGTGTGGAGGCATATCCCAAAAAGACACACTTGTGTAATTTAGGCTCAAACTTATGTCTTTGATGATTATGAACATGAACATAGCAAGTGCACCCAAACACTCTGAGAGGAAGAGAGAAGAGATCTTCATTTGGAAAAAGCAAGCTAAAGGGAGTTTTAAACCCCAGAACCCAGGAAGGCATTTGGTTTATCAAGTATGTAGCTGTAAGGACAACATCCCCCCAAAACTTAACAGGAACATGGGAAGCAAAAATGAGGCTCCTTGCAACCTCAACCACATGTTTGTTCTTCCTTTCCACCACTCCATTTTGTTGAGGAGTGTAAGAACAAGAACTCTAATGAATAACTCCAAAGGTATCAAAGTAAGAGGAAAAACTCTTCTCAAAATATTCCTTTGCATTATCAGATCGAAATATTTGGATCCAAGTGTTAAACTGGGTAAGTATAAGTTCATGAAATTTTTGTATAATATTTGGTACTTCATCCTGGGATTTCATGAGGTAAATCCAAATGTAACAAAAGAAATCATCAATGAAAAGAATGAAATATTTGTAACCCCCCATAACAGGTAAATGATATGGCCCCCACACATCAGAGTGCACAATATGGAAAGGAGAAACAAATCTTTTATTACTCACTAAAAAAGATTATCTACAATGTTTTGCAAGTTCACATGACTCATAATGAAGACTCGATAGGGATATTCCCTTAAACATTTCTGGAAACAAATGGCTCAAAGCAGAAAAAGACAAATGACCAAATCTGAAATGACATATCATGACTCTATCAACTGACTCTGATAAAACAGACTCCAAAGCTACTGCACTAGGTAATCCAGAACTTTGATTAGAGACATCCAACAAGTATATCCCATTCACCTCATGGCCACTCCCAATTGTTCGCTGAGACTTCAGGTCCTGAAAAACACGATAAGTAAAAAAGAAGGTTATGCTGCAATTCATTTATTTTGTTAAACTACTAACAGATAATAGGTTAGTGTTGAGTTTGGGAATACGAAGGACAGAGAATAATACAAGTGAGTCAGAGATTCTAATATCCCCCTTGCCAGAGATGGGAGCAAGAAACCCATCGGAAAGAGAAATCTTCTCTCTACCCGAGAGGAGCTGGTATGAACAAAAAAGGTTGGGTAAGCTTGTCATATGGTCTGATGCACCAGAATCTATAATCCAAGGAATTCTACGATTACCTGAGGCTATAGCATGATTTGTAGAAGCACGAATACCTGAATGGGCAAAGGCGATGTAGAGGGGGTGCCTGAGGAGGAAGATGCAATAGCAGAGTCCAAGTAATGTATCAACTTCCCATATCTCTCAAATTCTACCTTCACTATTACCAGCTCTTCCACAATAGATTTTTCTTCACTTTTAGATACTGTAGCAACATTTTCATTCTTGGGAATTCCAAACTGACCACCCTTATTAAAATTGTTGTTGTTCCGAAACCTTTCTAGAAGAAGATCTAGATGAAGTTTCCAACAAGAATCCTTCTTATGTTTCGACTTCTTGCAATATTCACATATCACCTCCTTTTTTTTCATTTACCCCCTTTGGTTTTAATCCAGCATGTGCAAAATGTT